TAAATGTCCGTCTGTCCGTCCGTCCGTATCAAATCGTGTCCGCTCTATATCTAGAGAACCGTTATGATTTCAAAGTTAATACTTGACATGTATATTAACCAACACCAGAGGGTGTGTCATAATGTATGTTCAACTTCCTAGGTCAAAGGTCAAGGTCAAAAACTTTAGTTTTAGTTGACAACCGGGACCCCATGTCCTATGGTAAAGATCGTGTCCGCTCTATATCTTGATATGTATATTAACCAACACCAGAGGGTGTATCATGTACAACTTCCTAGATCAAAGGTCAAGGTCAAAAACTTTGGTTTCATTTGACAACCCCATGTCCAATGATAAAGATACAAATTTTTTACCACACATTATTCACAGCGGGGCCCACAGAGATGGCTCCCATCTCAATGATATCTAGTTATTATTTGATAAAAAGTAGATCCTTCTAACTTTTTTAGGTTAAATGTGATTTCCACTTTGTGTGGACACCACATTTTTTAAACTGGCAAAAAATATTACTTTTTAATTTCCTATTTGTTTCCGGTAAAAATATAGAAACTTAAAAAAAATATTAACATATTAATTCAAAGAAAACTACTGTTGAAACAATAATAAATTATTAAAACTGAAGCAATTGCCTTCAAAATCTGTCAAAATTAACTAATCAAGTTTCAAAGGTTTTGCTACAATTTCCTAAATTAAACTAAAGCAAGCAACTATGATCAAAAGATCAAATTTATGGGAAACTAGCTCCTTAAAGTCCACTTACTAAAATTTCTCACTTTTCAAACTATCAAAACTGTTTTACTATTACATAATCTATTTTGAAAAAAAATCACAAATTTGTGATGATTGATTCAAATGCTGATAGCACAGGCTGAAGTTTTGATTTTCTGATTTCATTTAAATGAAAAACAAATACTGAAGAATTTTCAACAATGTATCAAAACTCAGCAAAATTATGTGAAAATATGCAAAAAACATGTACAGGGTGTATAAAAACATAATTTCCTTTCAAATTAAGAATTTTATGTCCAAGGTGAAATATTTGGGTCAGCAAACCTCAAATATATGGGAAAACGTTATGAATATTATTTGGTTGACACATATTAAATCATTTACAAAAATGGAGTTTGGATTGGTTCAATTCAACGATACATACAGGCCTTTATAAATTTGATAAATTGAATTTGAAATTATGCTGCATATATTATGACTCATATTTTTAAAATCAACAAAATGTTAAATAATTAACACCTTACATTCAGTACATTTTCAGAGTTTTTTTTAAGGCAAAGATATAATCAGTTTGTGAATCCTCATTGAAACTGTCCTGTTTATTTCAAACTATTACATATAGCTTAAAATCTCCATTTTAATATTTCCTTCAACTGTTCACTTTTTATTTAATGCAAAGGAATAACTTAAAGCAGTAGTATGTGTACAATGTAAATAATACTCAATACATTTTTCAAGACACATATTTTGTTTTCTAATAGAAAATATTTATTTTCAATAGTCATACATGTACAAGAATCTTGTCTGAAAACACTTGCAGAATCTAAACTAGTGAAATCAAAATTTCAAAGGATAAGATTACAGGATTTAAATGAAAATTTGCTTTTGGTTTCTTGTGTTGTTTGTTTGCTGTCTTATTCTTATAGAATATGTCCAAGATTTCCTCTTATTATTATTCATGAAATATTTATAGTTTTTATGCTAATTATATCAAGAAACACTTAATGTACTGTGAACTGATTTTACTGCTCATGAAAGATTTTTATGTTAGAAACAGAACGACAAGTAACCAGTTTTCTCTGTTTGCAATTGTAATACAAACTATAACACTTGTTTATTGATTTTAGTCCTTTATTCTTCACAGTTTTATACTGTTTACCATCAGATGACACATGTTGTAATGATCTATCCAAACACATCACATACAGACTACCATCTTGTAGTGTAGTCATCCTCCTGGGTGGTGATGGTAATGTTAGGGTGTGATGTCTGTCATCAGTATAACTGTACCAGTATAGCTTGTTTTTGTAATCACAGTAGAATATTCTGTCACCAGAACCATGTAACCTGTCAGGATCACAGTCAGTCTGTATTGTCTGTACCACCTCTCCTGTCTGATGATCTATGATATGTAGTCTGTTGTCACCACCTACAACTAACTTGTTGTTTATAGTTGTAATGTCTCTCCACCAACACAGTACTGATATTGATTTAAGTTTGAGTTTATTGTTTATGTCATACATCTCTATACACTCACTACCTAGCAGTGTAACAGCTACTGTAGAGTTGTTGACTGCTGTAACACTGTATGGTATACCCTGTACATCTACACTGTCTACCTGTGATCCATCTGTATTACAGATCAGTAGTCTGTGCTCTAAAGGTAAACACATCACCAGTCTACCATCATCCATCATCATCATATCTGATACAAATCCTACCAAGCCATCAACTACTAATGTCAGGTTTATCTCATGATGTAGTATAAAGATAGACTGTCCTAGTATGTAGGGCTTATTTGGTTGGTCAACTGAAACATTACAATATCAGTTTCAATAATAAGATGATTAATTATTAGCAAGTATATATATTGCAATTAGTGTATTAAAATTAAAAAAAAATGACAAATGAAATCTGAATATATTACATTTTAAAATAAATAAAACTTTATAATTAAATAATTTTGTTGGTTTAAAATGAAAATAGTGGAATAATTATTTTTTTTGTAAATTTGTGCCACATACCTTGTTTATTAGTTTGGTTTTTTATCAACTGTTGTAACACTTCCTATAAAAAATAAAAATTACATTGAAATGTAGAAGTATGAAAATTCTTACAGATTATTCTACAAATGTGCTTGGTTTTTTCAGTAGCAAAGTCTTCTAAAAACTTCTGTACATTTCTTATTGAATTGGTACAGTGTTGTAATATTTGATTGATGGATGTTGAATGTCCAGTGGATAAGTTTTTCTACACTATTCAGCATCCTTCAGTATGATTATATATTAATGGTACTAGAAAGAATGCTTCAAAACATATTTTTTCCATTATTGATTATTTTTCATTATTGTGTCTTGTTTTCCTGCCGAATGTTGTTTATTCTTGTCAAATCTAAGTCCAACTTAGTGCTTTTTTTTAACAGATATAGGGGAACTAAGTTATAACGGGGGGGGGGGGGGGGGGGGGGGGGGGGGCGGAATTCTTGATTTCCTGACGTCAGAATATATATTTGCATATTAATTTCCCAACTAGAAGGTAAACATGGCCTTGCAAAACTGACCAATCGACTCAATGAACTACAATGCATTGTGGGCTACTACGAGTTTACTACTTCTTAAAAACACTCGGAATTAGTGAGAAAACTGTAAACTTATATAGTGTCTGGGACTCTCATAAAAAAAAGTTTTGTTCAGCAAAATGTGTTTAATGTAAAATATATAACATAATCTTCAATTTGCATGCTCAGATTAAAAAAATATTGTTTACTGGCTTCACGATTCGACTTTCTTTTTTGCCTTGTAAAAGTAGTTGGACAGGTTTCGTCCATTGTTAGGCATTGAACATGTGCATTAATTTCACGTGAAACAGCGAAATTTCCAATGAAGTGACCACTGTCCAGTTTAAAATACCTATATCCAACAAATGAGAGAAATATAATAGGTTTATATCCAACGCTGCAATTTTCACAAAACATATCAAAGTTCACGTCCTTGTCGCACTTAAACATGGATAGCATCATAAATGATTTTATTGAGATTGGCAAATGTCAAGGTCCGTTAAAAATATTAAAAATTCCAATATCTACATTAGAAGAAATCGAACTTTGCAAAGATGAAAACAAAACGAAACTACAGCTGCTGGCAATGATTATTTAAAATATTGCTTCATTACCTTCAGAATAAAGGGAACTTGAAAGTTTGAAAAAGAAAATAAATGTGGAATGTGTCCATGGGACACAGATGATGCCCCCGCTAGCATATTATATAAAGATATAAAGGGACATAACTGAAGAACGGTAAAAGTGACGCTACCCAAATTTGCACTTGATCTGAGTTTTGTGGTAATAAGCATTGTGTATAAGTTTCATAACATTTGGTTGAGGCAAATTAAAGTCAGAGAACGGAAACAAAAATTCAGCAATTTTTATGTTTATAAAGGGGAATAACTCAAGAACAGTGGAAGTGACACCAACCAATTTCAAACCTGATCTGTATTAAGTGGTAATAAGCACTGTGTATAAGTTTCATAACATTTGGTTGAAGCAAACTAAAGTTAGAGAACGGAAACGAAAAATTCAGCAATTTTTATATTTATAAAGGGGCATAACTCAAGAACGGTAAAAGTGACGCCACCCAATTTCATACTTGATATGTATTATGTGGTAATAAGCATTGTGTATAAGTTTCATATCTTTGTTTGAGGCAAACTAAAGTTAAAGAACGGAAACAAAATATTCAGCAATTTTTATGTTTATAAAGGGGCATAACTAAAGAACGGTAAAAGTGACGCCACCCAATTTCGAACTTGATCTGTATTATGTGGTAATAAGCATTGTGTACAAGTTTCATAACATTTGGTTGAGGCAAACTAAAGTTAGAGAACGGAAACGAAAAACTCAGCAATTTTTATGTTTATAAAGGGGCATAACTCAAGAACCGTTATCGTGACAGCACCCAATTTCAAACTTGATCTGTGATCTGTGGTAATAAGCATTGTGTAAGTTTCATAACATTTGGTTGAGGCAAACTAAAGTTAGAGAACGGAAACCAACTTCGGATGTACGTACAGACGGACAAGGGTAAAACTTAATGCCCCCTCCGCTACGGCGGGGGCATAAAAAGTAAAAAAAACTGAAATATGCCAAAAAAAACAATATTTATAGATTTTGTTAACATTGTCAGACAAGAATTAAGAAATGTCTTGTGCAGTTTTGATTCAGTTTTGATGAAATATGATTTAGGTTTAATACATGTTCTGTACCTGTCAAATTCCAAATATAATAAAATGCTTCGCTGGGCGCAGCTTGATACGACCGCAGAGGTCGAACCCTGAACAGTTGGGGCAAGTATGGACACAACATTCAAGCTTGATACAGCTCTGAATTTGGATTGTGATTAAATATTTGACACAGCATAGGTTTCTGACACAGAAAGAATGTGGTCTAAGAACTTCAATTTTTTTAATTTACCTATTATGGTCCAATGTCCAAAATCAAAATACATGGTTAGATTCAGCATATCAAAGAACCCCATATATTCAATTTTTGTTGAAATCAAACAAAGTTTAATTTTGGACCCCAACTTGGACAAACTTGAAAACTGGTCCCATAATCAAAAATCTAAACACATGTTTAGATTCAGCATATCAAAGTACCCCAAGAATTCAATTTTTATTAAAATCAAACTAAGTTTAATTTTGGACCCTTTGGACCTTAATGTAGACCAATTTAAAAAACGGGACCCAAAATTAAAAATCTAAATACACGGTTAGATTTGGCATATCAAAGAACCCCAATAATTAAATTTTTGATGAAATCAAACAAAGTTTAATTTTGGACCCTTTTGACCTCAATATGAACCAATTTGATAGCGGGCCCACAAATAAAAAATCTAAATACATGGTAAGATTCAGCATATCAAAGAACCCCATATATTCAATTTTTGTTGAAATCAAACAAAGTTTAATTTTGGACCCCAATTTGGACCAACTTGAAAACTGGGCCAAAAATCTAAAATCTAAATACATGTTTAGATTCAGCATATCAAAGAACCCCATATATTCAATTTTTGTTGAAATCAAACAAAGTTTAATTTTGGACCCCAACTTGGACCAACTTGAAAACTGGGGCCATAATCAAAATTCTAAACACATGTTTAGATTCAGCATATCAAAGAACCCCAAGAATTCAATTTTTGTTAAAATCAAACTAAGTTTAATTTTGGACCCTTTGGACCCTTTGGACCTTAATGTAGACCAATTTAAAAACGGGACCCAAAATTAAAAATCTAAATACACGGTTAGATTTGGCATATCAAAGAACCCCAATAATTCAATTTTTGATGAAATCAAACAAAGTTTAATTTTGGACCCTTTTGACCTCAATATGAACCAATTTGATAGCGGGTCCACAAATAAAAAATCTAAATACATGGTTAGATTCAGCATATCAAAGAACCCCAAGAATTCAATTTTTGATGAAATCAAACAAAGTTTAATTTTTGACCCTTTTGACCTCAATGTGGACAAAGTTGATAACGGGGCCCAAAAATCAAAAATCTAAATACATGGTTAGATTCAGCATATCAAAGAACCCCATATATTCAATTTTTGTTGAAATCAAACAAAGTTTAATTTTGGACCCTGATTTGGACCAACTTGAAAACTGGGCCCATAATCAAAAATCTAAATACATGTTTAGATTCAGCATATCAAAGAACCCTAAGAATTCAATTTTTGTTAAAATCAAACTAAGTTTAATTTTGGACCCTTTGGACCTTAATGTAGACCAATTTGAAAACGGAACCAAAATTTAAGAATTTAAATACACGGTTAGATTCGGCATATCAAAGAACCCCTATAATTCAATTTTTGATGAAATCAAACAAAGTTTAATTTTGGACCCTTTGGACCTCAATGTGGACCAATTTAAAAACGGGGCCCAAAATCCAAAACCTAAATACATGGTTAGATTCAGCATATTAAAGAACCCCATGAAATCAAGAATAAAACCCCATTGAAATTGGTCAAGAAATAAGCAATTTATAGGAAGTATCTTCTTTTGCACAATCCTTTGCTATTAAATATTTCTTGCTATTGCGCAATACTGTACAATTGACAATTTCTTGCTATTGGATATTTCTTGCTATTGCGCAATACTGTGCAATTGAAGATTTCTTGCTATTGCGCAATACTGTGCAATTGAAGATTTCTTGCTATTGTGCAATTGAAAATTTCTTGCTATTGCACAATACTTATCATATAATAATTTACACATCCTGTTTGGTGTGTATCTCCTACCATATCATTATTATTTGATTTTAAATATAAATCAGAAATAACCAACTTAAAATGGAAATTTTTTAAAAGAAACAAAAAAGGAAAAAAAGAAAAAAAAGGAAAAAGAAAAAAATCCCCCCCCCCCCCCCCAATTTTTTGAACCCCCTTATGATTCATCACCCCCAAACTCAATCCCAGCCTTCCCTTTGTGGTATGGTACCTTGCAGTACAATTTCAGAGAGATCCATACACTTGAACACAAGTTATTGTCTGGAAACTAGAAAAATGTGTTTTTTGGCCCCTTTTTGGCCCCAAATTCCTAAACGTTTAAGGCAATTACCCCCAAACTCAAACCCAGCTTTCCCTTTGTGATATGGAACCTTGTAGTACAATTTCAGAAAGATCCATACACTTACACACAAGTTATTGTCATGAAACTAGAAAAATGCTTGTTTTTTGCTCCTTTTTTGGCCCCTAATTCCTAAAATTTTGAGGCAATTACACCCAAAATCAATCCCAGCATTCCGTTAGTGATATGGAACCTTGTGGTACAATGTCAGAGAGATCCATACACTAACACACAAGTTATGTCTGGAAGTTACAAAAATGCTTATTTTTGGCCCCTTTTGGCCCCTAATTCCTTTACTGTTGGTACCATAACCCCCAAAATCAATCCCTACCTTCCTTTTGTGGTATTGAACCTTGTGGTAAAATTTCATAAAGATCCATTCACTTAAACTAAAGTTAGAGTGCGAAAACCAATGTGTCTTCGGACGACGCAGGATGACGCCGGACGACAACGACGACGCCAACGTCATACCAATATACGACCACAAAAAATTTTTTGCGGTCGTATAAAAACCCATACCTTATAGTCGGCTATACACCCGATTGATGATTACACGTATTTGTTTCTTAAAGACTAATTAATAAATACATGCCCTTCCTCGATTTAAATGACTTTCTAATCCTAAAAGAAGGTACAATATCATAGCATCAATGTTGTGAAAAGCTGGGAAATTGTAGTGACCACCAAAAGATATTTGACACACTCTAAGTTTTCCCCTTTTTTACGAACCCAAAATTCAAGGATATCGTATTTTTTTTGACTATCTGAATGAAAGTTTATCTTATGGGTAATTGTGCTTTTCACAGTTGTTTCGTTGCTGTCTTGTGGACGAATATCTGAAATCTTTGTGTATTCATCAAGCATATTAATGGCTATATTTCGGGTAATTCAAACACTCGTTTCTTCGCATAGAAACAACTCCTCTGTAATCTGAGCATGGAACGAATACTTTATATCACGGACTATAAATGTGAATACAAAAAATGAAAAATTAAGCGAATTTGTTTATCCCGCAATGCATGAAAAAATGTGTTGAATTTCAGTATATAACACGCGTTCTGGGCTGATCGTAAACACGTAGTAGTCCATCATGCATTGTTACTCATTTAGTTTATTGGTCAAAAACCCAGGTAAAAAAAAATGCGTCATACATAAATAAACAATTACATGTGCGAGTATATAAGTATGCTAATTTATGCATATCCATATAAGGTAGTGTTCCCGACCTGTATAACTACTATGAATAATCATCTGAAACAATATGTTTACATAATCATTTCTATTTTTATATTGAAGTTCATACAAATGAAAATGTACATTTTAATAAAAGTTTGAATTTACAATAATTTTGGGTGATTCAGATTGCATTAATTTCTGAAGTAGGTTTAGAGGTCAAAATATGAGAAGACTAACTTTTGTGATCTTGCTTATTATTTCAAAAAGTATAAAGTTAGGTCAAAACTGTAATCAGCAAAAATAATCAGAAATAAAAGATCTACAAAACGTTAAAAGCACCAAATCAATTGGAGGACCATGGAGTTATAGCCTTAAAGGTTGACTATTTTCACTTATTTTTCGTGTCCATTGTATACTTTATCAAAGATCTTTTCCTCCGATACACCTTTACAAATTTTAACCAAATTTGGACGAATGATCCTTATGGTATCCTGTATAATGATTGTGTTATTGTATTCAGTCAGGTAACAGAAATTTCTGCCATAACTAAAAAAAAAATAAAAAAATAAGGCAAAACACATTTATTGTCTTATATCTTGAAAATCATGATACAATGTATATTAAAAGGGTAAAAATGCTTAGAATGTCAACTTTGAACTTCTTCCAATTTCATTATAATTATCAGATGATTCCTACAGGGGGTTATTGCAATTTAATGAAGGTTTTGAGAAATTTTCCCATTTTTGCCAACTATTCTGAAAATTATAATAAAATGCTTCGCTGGGGCGCAGCTTGATACGACCGCAGAGGTCGAACCCTGAACAGTTGGGGCAAGTATGGACACAACATTCAAGCTTGATACAGCTCTGAATTTGGATTGTTATTAAATATTTGACACAGCATAGGTTTCTGACACAGAAAGAATGTGGTCTAAGAACTTGAATTTTTTTAATTTACCTATTATGGTCCAATGTCCAAAATCAAAATACATGGTTAGATTCAGCATATCAAAGAACCCCATATATTCAATTTTTGTTAAAATCAAACAAAGTTTAATTTTGGACCCCAACTTGGACAAACTTGAAAACTGGGCCCACAAATAAAAAATCTAAATTCATGGTTATATTCAGCATATCAAAGAACCCCATATATTCAATTTTTGTTGAAATCAAAACAAAGTTTAATTTTGGACCCCAACTTGGACAAACTTGAAAACTGGGCCCATAATCAAAAATCTAAACACATGTTTAGATTAAGCATATCAAAGAACCCCAAGAATTCATTTTTTGTTAAAATCAAACTAAGTTTAATTTTGGACCCTTTGGTCCTCAATGAAGACCAATTTAAAAAACGGGACCCAAATTAAAAATCTAAAAACACGGTTAGATTTGGCATATCAAAGAACCCCAATAATTCAATTTTTGATGAAATCAAACAAAGTTTAATTTTGGACCCTTTTGACCTCAATATGAACCAATTTGATAGCGGGGCCCACAAATAAAAAATCTAAATACATGGTTAGATTCAGCATATCAAAGAACCTCATATATTCAATTTTTGTTGAAATCAAACAAAGTTTAATTTTGGACCCCAATTTGGACCAACTTGAAAACTGGGCCCATAATCAAAAATCTAAACACATGTTTAGATTCAGCATATCAAAGAACCCCAAGAATTCAATTCTTGTTAAAATCAAACTAAGTTTAATTTTGGACCCTTTGGACCTTAATGTAGACAAATTTAAAAAACAGGACCAAAAATTAAAAATCTAAATACACGGTTAGATTTGGAATATCAAAGAACCCCAATAGTTCAATTTTAGATGAAATCAAACAAAGTTTAATTTTGGACCCTTTTGACCTCAATATGAACCAATTTGATAACGGGGTCCACAAATAAAAAATCCAAATACATGGTAAGATTCAGCATATCAAAGAACCCCACATATTCAAATTTTGTTGAAATCAAACAAAGTTTAATTTTGGACCCCAATTTGGACCAACTTGAAAACTGGGCCAAAAAATCAAAAATCTAAATACATGTTTAGATTCAGCATATCAAAGAACCTCATATATTCAATTTTTGCTAAAATCAAACAAAGTTTAATTTTGGACCCTTTGGACCTTAATGTAGACCAATTTGAAAACTGGACCCAAAATTAAAAATTTAAATACACTGTTAGATTCGGCATAACAAATAAATAAATGTGATCAAAGATTTTACAAATCTAATGCGCCTTACTGTGCAATTAAAGATTACTTCTTGAAATTTTTCAATATTTGAAATTTGAAAAAAAAAAAAATATTTGAAGAATAATTCTTTTTAATTTCTGAAATCTGAAATGAGAAAAAAATTGACCCCCCCCACAATTTCTTTTTATCCCCCCCCCCCTTTTTTCCCGCAAAAAATTCTTTCCCTCAAGATATGGTCATAATCTCAATTCAAATTTCCAATGGAGTTGGCAACCATAATTACCCATTTAAATTTACCATAGTGCTAACTTAATCTATTTTATAATAGAATTAAAAATATACTGTTAAATCTTTCATATGGATTTTTTTGTAAAAAAAAAGATGCAACATTTGCAGATATTTTTACTGGT